TCCAGGGCCCAAACAATTGCCCGGGTCGGAACCACCGCCTTGCGCTGTGGCTTGACCTGGGTGTCCACCAGCGTCTCCTGGATGGCTTTCCGCTTCTCCAGGAGTTGTTTGTGTTCGTCAACGTTGAGCATGCCGAGTTTAATGGAGAGCCACTTTAAAGTGCCCCACCACTTCTGGAGCTTCGCCGGGGTGACCTCCAACGTGACCGCCTGGTTCATGAGGTGCCGGACGTCGCCGGCCGTCCAGGGGAGGTTCTGGAAGCCGATCTTGCGCATGCCCTCATAGGCCAAGCAGTGTGCCCGGATGGTACGGAACCGGGCATCACCAAAGAGGTGGCCAAACTCCTCCAGCTCCCTGGCCCCCATCACCTGGTGCATGTAGGGGATCTGGTGCCGGAAGGGGATGAAGTATCCCAGGAGGCGTTCCAACCACCTGGCCCTCAAGTGTTGTTCCAACGCTCTCTGAGATGTCGGCAATTGGGTTTTGATCTTCCCTGGTTTCCAATGCCGCCACTTGTTGGCCACTGCCAGGACATCCGGGGCCTCAATCGATCCGGAAAGGATCCACTCTTCGCGGTCCCGGATGGCCTGTTCCATTTCCAGTGGAGAATAGGTGTGCGATTGCCTGGCGCCTGCCGCACGAAACAGAAGTTGTTGCAGGGTCTTAGTAGCGAGCTCCAAATCCGCCTCCTCCAGCGGTTGTGGTTGGGAGCCGAGTATCCTCGCGAGGATCAAGTTGTAGGTGTCCGAGGCCACCAGGACGTGGTTGCCGTCAGGTGCCAGCCCCACGATCCGTGTCCACGGCCGCGGGTCAAAGACCACCGCATCCGGGTTGGCGACCTTGTCCTTTTTGACCCATTCCAGGCAGCACGCCACGAGGATTTCCCCGTCCGACTGCACTGGTGCAAATCCAAGGTCATGCAAAATCAACTGGAGCGCGGTTGGCGCCCCTAGGAAGGTCGTCCCAAACGGGGAAGGGAGGCGGGGCCTCCACATCATCATGATCCACTCGAGCCGGGGGCCTAGTCCCTAGGTGCAAACCCCAACCAAACAACAGGGGGCCCCCCAAAACCCCGGAAAGTCAACCCCGAAACGGAGGAAACGGGGGAAAAAGGGGGACCCAGGGAGCCGCCCCGAAAAGGGAAAACCAAACAAGAGAGGGGAACCAAGGCGCACCCCGGATCAGCCCAAGCCGCGCCAATTTTCCTCGCCTGGTGCAAGTCTGGGCCTGCGCTGTTCCCTGGGGGGGGATATCAGCGCCTTCGGCAGCTGTCCCCCCCCCGGGGTGCGCTGCGCATCCGTTCCGGATGGCCGCGGTCCTGGATGGTGTGCCGGAAGATGGCGTTGTCCCGCATCATCACGCGGCCCCCTTCGCGATGTCATCGATGCGCTTGAGCGCAGCAGCCTCCGGATTCCGCAGAATCAGCTCCCAGATGGCATTGGAGACGTGGCCTGTCTGGGTGGTCTGGCTGAATCTGAACCTGGGCACCTTCTGGTCCACGATGGAGACGTCCCGCAACGGGGCCGAGGGCTCCACCCGGCGGTAGTACTCCAGCCGCTCCTTCACCCAGCGGTTGTAGAGGCCCTCCGGCGGCTCGTCCAACACCAGCTGCAAGATGGCCTTGCCGGCCCGGATCTGGAGGAGGCGGGTGCCCCCTCCCCCGGTACCCCTTACAATACTTGCACATGTAGCCCCCCCGGGTCTCCCCTTTTGTCTTCGGGATGAGTTCCCACGGGGTGACGGAGCTCAGGACCAGGCCACACTCCATGTGCGCCCAGAAGACATGCTTCATCTCCACCGGATAGTTCTTCTTCCGGTAGTCCTTACCCACCACGCCGTGGACGTTGTCCGCCGTGATGGGGGGGTAAACGATCCCCTCATCGCCCTCGCCTCCCCTGGGGCGGATGTCAGGGCCATCGGCACCTGTCCGGCACCCAGGGGCGGAGGGGTCCAGGCCCATCAGCTTGATCATGTCGTTGGTGTAGCCGAGCTTGCGGTAGATGGAGGGGGCCACTGAGTCGGGGACTGCGCCGACCCACCACTGCTTCGTGTTGCAGCGCCAGTTGACCTTCACCTCCGCCAGGGCCCCCGGGCCTCCAATGCGGTCCATGAGGGCCTTGTACACCTCTGGGAACTGCTGGAGGCTCTCCACCGGGACCGAGATGCGCTCGTCGCATACCGCCCGCAGGATCATCTGCTCCTTGGAGTCCGCCACGTCCTGGACCGGGAGCTGCATCACCTCCGCCGGGGTGTCCGTGAGGAAGGCCCGGGCCGCGAGGACCTTGCCCATGGCCCGGTAGACCAATCGCCACTCCGGTCCTGTCTGCGGAAACGGAAGGCCCTCCTCCTTCAGGAAGCACCGCGCGTCCTCCTTCAGGGTCTCCCAGCCCTCCAGGCGGGTCTGATTCTGGGCCTTGTTTTTCGGGCCCCGCTGCCTAGGGCCCTGCAGCAGTGGCAGAGACTCCCAGACTCCCCAGAGCTGGCGCAGGGTGTAGCTGTGCCCGAATCAGACCCCCAGTAGGCCTGGGAGTGTCCAGGACGAGATCTGGCGCGTCCAGTGGAAGTCCTCATCCGGATCGTGGGGGGCAGCCCAAAAGATGGATCGCAGGTCCCCAGGGTAGGGTCGGTCCCCCGCCTTCGCCTGCTGGTGCAACGCAGCAACGGAGTACCTGGCCCAGGGGAGTCCACCCACCTGGTGGTTCCTGGGACGCGTACCCTTCTCCAACGCCTCCGGATTCACCTTGGTGAGGTTTTTCGCCCAATCCGGGACGTGTACCGGGCCCGGTCGTCGGACCCAGCGGCCCGCAAAGATACGGACCTCTCCGACCCGTTTGCTCATCATCCAGCGCAGGACCGAGAGCTGCACCTCCGGGCCCTTGGTGTCCAGGCCCAGGTGCCGAGGGCCCTGACAGGCCGCCCACCATCCCCCCAGCCTCGGGCTCTGGCGTGACGAGCTCAGGTGCCGAGGGCCCTGACAAGCCGTCGGAGGGCCGCCGGGAAGGGATTCCTACCCAGCGAGATGACCGCCTTGGCCTAGGTAGGAGTCCGTGAGGGATGTGAGGTCGTCCATACTGAAGTCCCTCCATGCCGTTGTCGGCTCGAAGACCCCAGTCTCAATGGCGACCCGGACCTCACTAGGCCACGCACTGAAGGGAGGCGCGATGGGCTCGAGCATTCTGGTTTCGAGGGAGCCCTTCGCCTGTCTGGCTTGGTGTTTCGCTTTCGCCTCCTCCGCAGTGGTCTGGGCCTGGAGGAGCTCCGGTGTGGGTCTCCCCCAGTCCGCACCCAGCTTGTCCAGCAGCTTCTCACGGAAGAGGTCCAAGTCCAGGTTCTTCAGGAGCAGGCCTCCATCACCTCCTCCGTCAATGGCCCCCCCTTGAAGTTCGTGGAGGACCGCCGCGGAGCGCTCCACCGCTTCCACCTGGTCCTTCTTGGCCTCCTCCTGGGCGATGGTGGTGGCGTTGAGCCGGGTCTGAATCTTGAAGGCCTTCACCGCAGACGGGTGGAAGGCTCTGCATGATCACCGCCCGGACCGAGGAGGGGACGAAGTCCGAGAAGCTGGCCTGGTCCGGGTTCTCGCAGGCCATCGGGTCGGTGGCCAGCTCGCTGACGTCCACCGAGGCACTGAGCTTGAGGTCGCGGGCCCGGTCCGTGTCAGGGCCTTCGGCACCCGCGGACCGGGCCGCCGTCCAGACCGCATTGCCCTGGTCATCCACCGTCAACTGCCAATGCGTGCCCGCCATCTCCAGGGTGGCCGAGTTGGTCGCCGTGTCAATGGGCTCCGTCTTCTTGCCGCACCCCATGCACTTCGTGGCGCCCTTCTTCACCCAGGGCATGGTGCAGCAGGGGCAGATCCAGGATGTGGGCACCTTGCCCAGGGGGCGGTTCTCCAGGCCCCCGTACCCCAAGCCAGCGCGCTTGCCAACCTGCTGTCCCGGGGTGCTGAGCCGGGCCTCATGCTCGTACTTCATCTTGGCGATGTAGAAGGCCTCCACAACGCGCTCCAGGCCCCCCTGCTTGAGTTGGGGGCCCTCAAAGCCTCGCAGGAGCCGCTGGACGTCCTTGCCTGCAGTCGGCGGAGCCTAGTGGCCGTGGTCGCATCGAAGCAAGGGAAGTCGCCCGCCATCTGGTCGTCGCTGAACTGGTAGAGGCCCTCCGAGACCTTGAGGGCCTTGGTGAACACGCTCCCCCCCGGCGGGGGGGCTGCGGGGTTCTCATCCTCCTCCGAGGACGCCTGCTCCTTGACCTTCGCCATCAGCTCCCGGCGCCTCTGCCACTTGGCGTCTGCCCGGGCATCCAGGCGGGCCTCCTCCAAGCGGGCTGCAGCCGAGGGGGACCTGGGCATCGGCAGCTCCTTCTCGTCCTTCGCCAGGAGCTCCTCCATGGGCACGTCCTCCTCCGGCGGGTTCAGGAGCTCTGGGGGGCGTGTCAGGGCCTTCGGCACCTGCGCCACCCCAGGGGCTGCATCTTCCATCGGCTCATCCTCTGCCTTGCGCTTGGCCGGGATAAGGGGGGCCTGCTCCAGCTCATCTGCGCTGGAGAAGAAACGCTCGTCAGGTGCCTGAGGGACCTCAGCAGCCAAAACGGTCCATCCTTCTTCCTCCCTCTTCACGAGGCTCGCCAGGTACTTTGCCATGGAGGCCTTTGCCTTAGCCTTGGCCTCTGCTACCGCGGCACCAGCGTAGGCGGGGGCGTACATGGCTTTGAGAGTAGGGGAAAGAAAGATTTCAAATCACAAGACAAAAGATCAAAAGGTCCACTTGAGCCAAAATGGTGGCCCAAGTGGATACTTATTAAGAGTCAAGACAAGCGACCACCTACGGTTAACGCTTTAGCCCAATATTCTTAAGCAAATGGAAGGTCGTCCGAAGAGTCACAATGGACCTTGAAAAAACCAAAGTTGCAGCCACAAATTATCTGCCCGCCTCGCAAGGCACAAAAAGAAAAAAACTACCAGCACGGGCCACCAATGAAGCCACCCCGCACTTCTGCAAAGCGACTCGTTGGGGAAGACGTAGAACTTCCGGGCATTGCGGGCGGATGCCATCTCCTGAACGACAACTTGAGAGGCGGTCTAAACACCCCTAAAGAGGTCTTCAAGTTTAGAGCATGGGACCTTTGGCGAAGGGGCGACTCTTGAAACCAAAAACCAGGGCCCCTGCTAAAAGCTCAACTTTTTGGCGGGGTAAATGGAAACTACCACTAAATCAACTAAAGAGCGAATTACTAAGGAACTGGATGGCTGGGAACCAACAAAAAAACTGGAGTTTGCATGAGAGACGTGTCTTAGATCGCACCTCTCGAGCTTCACCTCACTCTTGGAACCTCCATTGAAATGGGCCCCGCCAACTGAAACGGGCGTGATCAACAGAAAGCAAGGCAATTGGACTACCAGTGCCCGCATTGACATCCCGTGCCCCCTAACTGTCAAGTACTGTCCGAAAAGCAGTGGTTGCGGGTGCTGGATCTGGGCATGTCAGAATTAGCACAATGTCTGCCGCCGTGCTTGAGCGTGTTTGAAGCAGATTGTTTACACGACCTTGCTGAGGCAAAGGAAAAACGACCAGCTGGTGGATGAAACGCATGTTGCCCAACCCTGGACTCACAACATGCATGCTTCTGGCACCCTTTTGCAGGCGACCACGGCCTGGTTGTTAGAACAAATTCAACCAACAACTTTGGCCTTGTGCGCGGAGATCACAAGCGTCCTTTTGTACAAAAAAGGCTGGCGCCTGGTTGCCAAACTGAAACCCCCGCTCCGCCAATCGATTTTCAATTAACTGGAAGCCCACTAAAGCGGACGCACCCTATTTAATCAACCAGGGATCTGTCCATCCGTGGTGTCTTTTTAAAGGGACATTCCCAAAATGGTGGGTTGTCATTTTGGTTTTCCTTCAAAGCCCTTTGCCAAGACAGGGTACCTGGACCCTCACAACTCCCTTTAAGATAGGTAAGTGTCCCAAATTTATGGGTGATGTCCTTCTCTTTCGTGTAGTGTGAGGGTCCAAGTACCCCCAACAAAAGACAATGGCGGGTTTTCCTTGTGGTTTTTCCTTCACAACCCTTGGCAAAAACGGGGTACCTCTCAAAAACCCAGAACAGGTCACCCTGAGTGTGCGGATGTTTGTGGTTGAAACCGAAAAACAACAAGTTTCACACACTCTTCTCAACAAAAACGCACGAAGCCTCCAGAAACCCTAGGCTTCAGCTTCCGTAAAAAAAAAGAAGAGGTTGACCCAATTTCGATGATGACAATCCTTGGGTTTCTCAGAGGCGGTTCTATGACTCCCATGGTTCTAATGGTGGTTTGAACCCGGCGATCCATCGATCGATCCAGTCCTTGGCCTTCTCCCGGTCACCCACCCCGCGCTTGGCGTTCGTCTTGGGCGCCGGCTCCTCGTTCAGCTCCGCCTCTGCCCGGACGTCCTAACGGTCCCGACGTGAGCGCAGGGCCGGTTGCGAACCGAACGCGGCGAGTCTCTGAATGAAACCGCCCCTCCTTCGGCGGTCCTTCGCTCGAACTGGGCATGTGGGGAAAATGGGGGGGAGGAGGGAAATGGTGGGTGTTCCTTTTGGTTTCAAGCACCCAAACAGGTACCCATCTGGCCCGGCAAAGTCCTGTTGGTTTCCTAAAACCGTGCCAAAAACAAATGTACCCTCAAAAGAGAGAGAGAGAGAGAGAGAGAGAGAGAGAGAGAGAGAGAGAGACAGAGAGCGAGCAGAGTACAAGCCCAACGCTCGTTCTCCGAACCCGATCCTCCTTGAGGTCCCCCGTCTCCACACGGCACAGCGCCCGCAGCCGGGAGTAGATCCCCATGTTCCGGTGCCTTACCTCTTGCAGCACCGTGTAGGGCACCACCACCTCACGAGAACGGGTGGCGAATCAACGGGCGTTTGCTCCCCTACACTTTAACATGGAGCCCGAAAAACCACCATCCTGGCCTCATCCTTCTACCATGATATAACCGCCCTAAGTGATGGATTAAACGGTTAACCATTGTCAGAGGAATCTGATTTTGGGAGAGGGACCACCCTTGTTGGGTTCAAGTGAATCTGCCAGGGAGCAATACCACCATCCTGGCCTCATTCTTTTACCATGATCAAAATCACCCCCTAAGTAATGAATGGGTGAAAGGGAAACAACCGATTCCATTTTCTGACTTTGAGAACTCCCAGAAACCATCAAAACAATGAATGACCCCAGCCATTGTCAGAGGAATCTGAGTTGGGGGGGACCCCCCTTTTTGGCTCTCTCTCTTTCTCTTCTCCCGTGGATTTTGTAGGTTTAATGGCAAAACCATTTATTTCCGAAAGATCTCAGTCAGGGCTGCACAAGAACGCCACTTTCTGGAACCTGGTGACATTTGCTTGCGACGCTTACGCAAAGCGGGCGAGACAAACTTCGCAACCACCCGGAACTCAGCCACGCTCAGGTTGCCTGTTGTATCCTCTACTCGGCACGAACACTATGAGGCACACCAGCCATCCCACGTAACCAAGTCCATTGGCACGAGAGCAGCTGTCGCAACCTCCGAAGCCCCTCGTCGACAAACCAACCGCTTTTAAGTTCCGTGGCTTATGCACACAGACAGAGACAGCAACAGTTCAACCCACACAAGAGAGGAATCTGCAGGTTTTGACCAGAGAGCAAACGCGGGAATCGAAGCGCCCCGTTCCCCTTGGCTTCTCTCCATTTGGCCACGGGTCAAAACCCAAATCGTACCCCCAGTGAACATCCCAATCCCCACTAAAATAGACTAAAAAGGGTGGTGCACCGAAAACCAACCAAAATGGGATCCCAAAACGGTTTTGACCACCACAGCCATTTGCATCTGCGGCACATGGTTAATGCACTCGTCTTCCGCGATCAGGTCGATCTGATGGAGGACGATGTTGGTATCCAGGACTAGCACCTGGAGTTGAGTTTTCTCACCGCAGATCTCGCAGGGAGCCATGCGAGCCCGATCAGCCTTCATCCGGGTGCAGCTCAAAACGGGGAGCCCCACAATGGACGGTGTCCGCCTGGTTTCCGCTACCCAGTTCAACAACCCACGAAGGCTTTCTGGGCATCCCAAGTCAACAAGTTAGGAACTCTTTGCAGCCTCCATATTAGGCTGGAATTAGAACCCGGCAAACAAAAATCTGTTTTGCCTGGGTAGTGGAAAACAAAGGGAGCCCCAAAAAAGCAAAAAGGGGAGCGAATTCTGGGGAAGCATAAAGAATCAAAAGCTTGACGCCGAAACAACAAACCTTGACAGGGCCTTGTTTCAACTGCCGGACGTATTTGACGTACCTTTCGCCCTTCCTTAAACCAGCACCATGGTCCAAACAAGCTCGGACTGGTTTTGTGTCCAAATTAGTTGGACCAGAGCCGGTTCGAAGGAACAGGGCGCCTGATCCGCGCCCTCAAAAGGCTCCGGCACAATGTCGTCCCGCAAGTAGACCTCCCGCAGCACCTGCCGGTGCTAATCGGCGTGAGCTGCCGCAATGTGAGTTGGTGGGAGGGTCAAAAATGGCGAACCCAGAACCAGGTAAAGAAATAGAAAGGCGGATCTCCGCAGCGATTTATGCCTGGGATCGTCCTTCACCTTCATCTACCCGAATCGGTTTTGATTGTGGCTCACATGGCTTCGAAGTTACAGTAGAGAACCCTTGGAAAGCCTGAAGCATATGATATCCCATGCTGCCCATCACAGGGCACCCAGCTGGAACTCAGCCCCATATGTTGTTGATTTGTTTTTCATGGATCATGACTTAATTTGGTTTTGCAGTAGCCCACAGGCTCATTGTAATTGTTTGGGACCTTACAACAGGATGGATTTGCGGCGAAATATTCTAATCGCCTTTGTAATAGCAAACCGTTACCAGCCGTTTGAGAATACGGGAATGAGGTCACGTGGGTTTTCAAGACGAAGTCCCCAAGAAAAATCAGGAAACTCCAGCGTTGATGCCAGTGAGCGAGCTAATCACAGGCACAAAGACATGGCCCGATTTTTGTTTGCACGCGGGCTTCCCAGCAAAACGACCCCGGCACTTTTTGGGGAAAATGCTCTTTGGGGGACTCTTGAAGCGGGAATTCTGGTTCTGCTAACGCCAAAGGCCAACTATTTCAGCAAAAAAGGGAGTTCATGGTTGTTTTTGTGAAACATGTTACATTTTGCTTGTTGTGGTTTAGGGGGAAATCCAACCACTTAACTGCTAAAAATTTACATTGTTGCTCCCCTTCCAACGTCAACCAAGATTTAGACAGCTCAAGAAGGAACCTGATGAAAGACCATCTTGACCCCTGTCAGGTTCCATGTTGATTGATGGGAGGGTAGTAGTGTTGACCCAGGATGAATAAACCCGTCCCACTATTAGGGGGTGTTCCCTCCAAAAGTGATGAATCCCCACTCAAAGCAGACACCCCCCTATTAATCAGCCAGGGGTTTACTAATCCGAGGTTAACATTAACTGTCTAGACGCCATGGCACCTTGCGGATCTTGTTCTGCCGCGTCCGCCGCAGCCAGCTGCTGAGCTGGCGGCTACTGCTGGGCACGTCCTCTGCGATGTCCGCCTCCGTGTCCATCGCGGAGGCTAAGCCGCCGCTGCAAGCGGGGCAAAGGCAGGCCTAGGCCCTGCTGATTCTGGGCTGCCCTCAGATCCCCCGCTAAAAGTTCAACTTTTAGTGGGTTATATGGAAACTGCGACTGAACACTAAAAAGCTAAAAGGCTAAGGAACCGGATGGCTGGGAGCCACAAAGGATTTGATGGGTAGAGGGTGCTTTTGCTGGACTTGGCGCGGCACAAGGGCAAATGGGTACAAAACAAGCCACGCAGTTTTCGGCGGATTCATCTGGAAGGCAGCGATTGTTTCAGGAGATGACGATATGGGCGTAATGTAAGGCGCCTTGTTGTTCAAACAACTGGCTTAGACATGAATGATGTGGAAGCTAATCATCTCAGCATGGAGGCTTGATTGGTACATGATTGCCAACTGCAAATGAAATGCTCCAAGTGCGGTGCGTGTTGTGACACAGCTTGGCACTCCGGTTGTGGGGGGTGGCTTCTTGCTACTCCGAGGATCCATATCCCATGAAAGCCGGGACTCCGCAGCTAGAGCTTCGCGTGAAAGAATCCAGCGGCATCCGATGTGAGCAAATGGACCAAATCAATTAGTCAGGGTTCTCTGGCTAGGTCCTCCAGAGTAGAGAGGTTAGAATAAGGGTACCCTTTTTTCTGTGGTCTATTTTAGTAGGGGAACCCTCCCCCCAAACAAGGGTAAAAGGGCACCACTGGGGGACCTAGCTGGATCTCCCCTCAGGCTGCAACTCACGGGTGCTTTCCCTTGAAACTGCCACTTTTCGGTTCCAAACGAGGGAGAATTGGCTCGGAAGCAACTTCCAAGTAGCGTCCCAATCAACAAGTCGCCCCAAGAAACGCGGCACAGCCCAGGTCTTACAGTCCTCTCACCCCGTCACAACTCCTCCGAGCGCAAGGAGTCTCGGACCAACTCCCCCACAGCGGCGGCGATCTCCTGGGGCTGTGCAGTCGATACTTCTGAACATACCCCACCTCCCAGCCTCGGGTGTGAATTTTTCAGGGGACCCTTTGGTGGACATCATTTAGGTGTTGAAACTCATGTCTACCAGAGACTGGTGAGGTGGTCCCCTGACATAAAATTCACTGCCATAAGCCATATATGTAAGGATAAATCATGGGCCATGGGGTACCCTGGATGGGCCCTGTAGCCCAATCCACTTATCACCGATGGGCTGTGGTCTGTAGATGGGATGTCTTCAGCCTTTGTCCATAGCTTTGTTTGGTTGCCCTTCACAAATCAGGCGTTGAAGGCTCAGGCCAAAGAAAGACAAACTGGGCACGAGTGACATTGCACAAAGCAAGATCCTTCATTAACCAAAGTTTTCAGCAGTGCAGTCGTCAAAACCCCGACCATGCCTTGCACTCACGTACTAACTGTTGAATGTTGTTTTTCAGTGAGACTTCGCGAATCAATATCAATGATGTGCTGTGCATGCTCACATGCACAACCCAACCGGAGCCAGCCGAGCCGAAACTTGCACCGCAACCCACAAGAAGCACGCACACACACACACACACCCACATACACCCACATACACCCACCCACCCACCCACCCACCCACCCACCCACCCACCCACGCACGCACGCACGCACGCGCGCATGCGCGCGCACGCGCGGCACGCGCACTGCACGCGCACGCACGACGCGCGCGCATCGCGCGCGCCCGCGCCCGCGCGCCCGCGCGCCGGCCCGCACGCCCGCACGCCCGCACGCCCGCACGCCCGCACGCCCGCACGCCCGCACGCACGCACGCACGCACGCACGCACGCACGCACACACACACACACACACACACACACACACACACACACACACACACACACACACGCATAGGTGTCCTTTTGGACACATAGACGGCCCTGGTAAATGGAATACAACCCATCTAAACCAGTGGAACCCTTCTATGTTTGACCACACTACCCTAAAAAGGACACCTATGCACACACGTGGCAGCGTGTCGTTCTTCCGTGCGTGAAATGGGCTTGCGCTCCTCGAAGTCATCTTGCACCAAGCGCTCGGCGGGGCTGGTTGCCTAAGAACTCCCAAATGGCAGTGACGTCACAGTCAAATGGCAGAATTATGCAACGCATAGGTACATAAATTGCACACATGGATATTATTTGATTTTAAACATAATACACTTGTATCTATTTGAATATATATATATATTATACCTATATATTGTATAAGAATAACAATCAAGTAAAAGATAAAATAACAAATACAGCATGTCGGCCGTGGTCGGGGCGAGCCATGTGCCAACAGATTGTCACTCGACACGTGAAGGGGCACACAATTCAGCACATTTCAGCATGTGTTGCTAGCCGATGCATGTGCAATAAGGCGAAAGGAACTTGGGCGCGCAACCCACATCAGTAGGGAAGATCCCACGCGTATAAATGAAAAGCAGTTTTTTTTCTCCGGAACTACACACATTAATTTCAGTGTGTGCTATGAGGCGCCCGAGGCATCATCTTCCCTCGGTTGCTTTCTGCTCCCCTGCTAAAAGTTTAACTTGCGGTTTAATGAAAAACCCATTTATTGGCAAAAGGTTAAAGTCCTAACATCCAAGCAAAATGCACCAAAGTTCTCAAGTTTGCAGCGCCCGAGTTTCGTTTCTAGATGGTATTTTGGGGCGCGACAAGTGGACTGAACACTGCGCCAGGTCTGCAAAGACCAGATCGCCGGAACTGTTCCCTGAAAAAGCTAGAGACCAAAGGAAACCAAAGGGGCACCAAGGGAAAGGTTACCATTGTGTGGCCTTGGATTCCCAAGGAACCGAAGTGGCCTCGGATAACACGAAAGGGACACCTTTGGGAATGGCCTAAAGGAAGTCACGTACCACAGAACCCAAAGGAAAAACTTCGAACCAAAGGAAACCAAGGCTTGGTTCACGTTGGAAGGGGGGCAACAAAT